AGGCGCCCCAGTGACATCTCAAATTAAACTGAAGTTTCCATCCCAAGAAACAATAGGGAAGCATTTTAGGTCTGTACTTGTGAATTGTTCTTTTACGTCTATGGTCTTTATTGTTAGTTTTCCATCCTGTTCTTAAATAGACTTTTTTGGCTTAGAAAGCATTAATTTAGTACTTAATACGCACTAGCTCCGATGATAGCTGCTAGGCCTGACTCCTGTTCTCTGGGACTCATGGTCTTCATTTTTAATTTCATGGAAATGGAGAAATTGACAAGTTGTCCCCAGCATAACTCCTTCTTCATATAACCCTAATGTTTATTTTGGCTTATTGGACACTAGGTCAGGCATCCTTTTGGGTTCATTTTAAGTTGTGCTCAACATTTGTGTTTGTGCATGATTTAAGCTTTTGAAGAAGGACCGCCAAGCTAATTTTCAGTTTTAAGTGGGTAGATGTGGTTGAAATGTCTCCAAAGCCTTTTTGTGCGGCTCTTACTTTTCAGATCAGTGGAGCTAACAGTCTTTATTTGTTAAGAAGTCCAGGTCCTCTCCACATAAGCCTGAAATAATTTATGCTTGGCTTAACAAAATAAATTCTTTCTTTCTGTCTCTCTCTTTATTTCAAAAAAGAAGAATCCTTTCCTTAAAGCAAAGCAGACATTGCACATCTCATATATTTGCTGTTGCTTCGATTTCAACCCTGGATAAATCTTAAAATATTGTTATAGGTGATATTTTCCTTGTTGTGTGGGGAAATAATTAATGTATTCTAGTAATAATACTGAAGGTTTCTGATCACAGTGGAGTGGTTATTAGGACCTTCCAGATTGGCTGAGGGAGTGCAGTACCATTATAAGCCATGTGAGGGCAGAAGTGGATAAAGTTTAAAGTTTTTGCCTCCCTTTTTTTTTTTTTTTTTCCGATTGCCTGTTGATTACTAGAGTACACCTACGACAAAACAGATGTCCCTATATGGTTTAGTTTAAGTGCAGGCCTTTTTTTTCCCCCCCTAACATTTTTTCTCATTAGATTCTGGTACATTGCAGTTGATGAGCAAGAACTTCAGCCCCTCACCCCCTGCCAATTTCCTGATGGCGTGTGGTATTTCTAGGATTTTCATAATTAAGTTGGTCATTCTCCTACAGAGAGGTCACATCTGTTCCATACCCAGGAAGCTTGAATTTTAATTATGTTTTGTTATCTGACTTAAAATTACTGAAGAATAATTTTTTTCTGTAGCAATGTAGTCCTGAGATTCCTTAGTTTGATTCCATTATAATGATGGTAACAGGTACTAGAATGCTGTTACCTAGGGCTTATAATTAAGTATTGAGACCCTTCTGTCCTGGGATGAGCACTAAGCTAAACCCTGTTGGAGAGAGAAAATTTTACTGTTACCCTTCAAGGTTCTTCTGGCTGGTCTAAAAATCAAACTGACATGAAACAGATTAATAGGAGAAAAATCAAACAATAGTTTAGTTACATTTGTACAGAAAGTTCTTATAAACATGAGAGATTCCAAAGCAGCCAGGCAAAATGAAGCTTACATGATATCCTGAACCAAGGAGGGGGTAGAGGCCTGCAGGTTACAGAGGGGAGGAAGACCATTTGCTGAGAGGCAGAGATGTTTGGACAACAAAGACTTCCCTGTTATGCAGCTTAGTTTCGTAGGTAAAGAGGAATCTCTGGTGATGGCTCTCTTCCTGGTACCAGGATTCCCCACTTTCCAATGTAATTGTAGGCAGTTGAGAGGGAGGGAGGGAGCTTCTCCTGAATCTGTGGAGTTTTGATTGCTTTTAATTCAAAATAATCTTCATGGCAAAGTGGCATATTTAAAAAAATTTTTTTTAATATTTTATTTATTTATTTGACAGACAGAGATCACAAGTAGGCAGAGAGGCAGGCAGAGAGAGAGGGGGAAGCAGGCTTCCCACTGAGCGGAGAGCCCGATGCAGGGCTCGATCCCAGGACCCCGAGATCATGACCTGAGCCAAAAGCAGAGGCTTTAGCCCAGTGAGCCACCCAGGCGCCCCAGGAGAGAGAGATTCTCAGGTTTTTTGTTTTTTTTTTTTAATTTTTATTTTTTTGTATTCTGAGTTTTTATAAGGTCACTCTGTTGGTATGTGACAAATGATTTGATGGTAGGACGGGAGAGGGTAAAAGCTCAGAGCCCGTTTAGATTGGGAGGGGGCAGAGAGTCAGGTCTGCTGTTGTCGTGTGAAAGCAGCCATAGGCAGTGTGTAAGTATATGGTCACAGCTCTGTGCCAACCGATACAACTTTATATAGAAAAACAAGCAGCAGGCCATAGTCACCACCCCCTGGTTTAGATTATTGCCATTGTCCTGGCAAAAGGTGGCGTTGGTGTGGGTGTCTAAGGTGCCGGCACTGGATATAGAGCGCAGTGGAGAGATTTTCAAGAGGTTTTGCAGGTATGACCCACCGGGCTGGATCCGGTGAGGAAAAGGGAGGGATCAAGGATGGTTTCCAGGCTGCCAGCTTGAGCTAGTAGTAGGAAGAGACACTTCCGCTAAGAATAGGAGACAGAGAAACGGGCCCAGGGAGAGTTCTGTTTGGGCCATGCGAAGTTTGAGTCATTGCTGAGTCATCCATGATGACAAGGACGGGTTGGCTCCACAACCCAGTTGTGCTGGGAAGAGAGGTTGGGGCTCCTAGTAGATTTTGGACCTACTCAGGTAACTGAAGCCAAAGAAGATAGTGGATTCTGGGACTGGTCCCACCACGATCTCTTCCTTCTCAGCATCCAGATCATTCCAATTAGCGCCTAAGTTTTACCCCCCACTTTTTTTTTTTTTTTTTAGTTTTATTTATTTAAGTACTCTCTACACCCAAATGTGGGGCTTGAACCCATGACCGTGTGATTAAGAATCCCACACTTTAATGACTGCGCCGGCTGGGAACCCCAAGTTTTACACTGGATTATTGTTCTTTAGTGCTGCCTAATTTTCCTTGATAAATTCTGAGCTCCTCAGGAGCACGTTGTCTTAAGTTCTTTTCAGGGGGCGCCTGGGTGGCTCAGTGGGTTAAGCCTCTGCCTTCAGCTCAGGTCATGATCCCAGGGTCCTGGGATCGAGCCCCGCATCGGGCTCTCTGCTCCGCAGGGAGCCTGCTTCCTCCTCTCTCTCTGCCGGCCTCTCTGTCTACTTGTGATCTCTGTCTGTCAAATAAATAAATAAAATCTTAAAAAAAAAAGTGCCTTACTTGTTGGAAGCACATTGTAAATTAAGTTAACATTTGTCAAAGGATTACGCTGTCAAGAATATCACTGGGGCGGGGAACCTGGGTGGCTCAGTGGGTTAAGCCGCTGCCTTCAGCTCAGGTCATGATCTCAGGGTCCTGGGATCCAGCCCCGCATCGGGCTTTCTGCTCAGCAGGGAGTCTGCTTTCCTTCCTCTCCCTGCCTGCCTCTCTGCCTACTTGTGATCTCTGTCAAACAAATAAATAAAATCTTAAAAAAAAAAAAAGAATATCACTAGGGCTTTTGGTAGGACTTGTTTCAGAAAGGCAGCACGTTTTAATAGTAGTTAATCTAGTAATACCACCATTGCCGAGACTGTTCAGAAGTCTGCAGGAGTGTGTGTGTGTGTGTGTGTGTGTGTGTGTGTGTGTGTGTGTGTTTACACATGGAGAGGGAGAGAGAGAGAGAGAAAGACCAGCAGAGAGAGAAAGAGAGGCAGGCCCGGGTGGCTCCCACCTTTCTCATAGTGTCACTAGATTTGTGTTCTACCTTCCAAATGGTCCACTGGTAGAAACTAGCTGATCTCACTCCTCAGTGGCCTGTGTTCTGGATCTTTTTGTCAGCTTATGAATTCCCTTTCCATTAAAGCCTTCCTGGAGTGCCTGGGTGGCTCAGTTGGTTAAGCATCTACTTTTGGCCAGGTCATGATGTCAGCATCCTGGGAAAAAGCCCCGCATCACGGTCCCTGCTCAGCGGGGAGTCTGCTTCTCCCTCTGCCTGCCGATCCCCCTGTTTGTGCTCTCTCTCTCTCGAATACATAAATAAACTCTTTAAAAAAAAAAAAAAGCCTTTCCTTTTTTGTAAACATTTTTTTTTTCAAACTTGGTGAGATGAAGTGTTGACAGCTTTGTAATGATCCCCATTTTTCTGGGTGGGTGGGGTTTACTATCTGTAAAATTCAACTGAATCAGTGATAGAAGAATTCATTTACTTAACTTAGTCCGTATCTCCACACAACAGGCAGTGTGGTATTATAAACACAGGAATCAGGTCATTCTTAAAATTCTCCTTTTAAAAAAAAAGATTTATTCATTGGGGTGCCTGGGTGGCTCAGTCAGTTAAGCATCTGCCTTCGGCTTGGGTCATGATCCTGGGGTCCTGGGATCGAGCCCCACATTAGGCTCCTTGCTCGGTGCGGAGCCTGCTTCTCCTTCTCCCTGTATTGCTCCCCCTGCTTATACTCTCACTCTCTGTCAGATAAATAGATAAAATCTTTTTTAAAAATAAAGATTTATTGATTTATTTTGGGGGGTGAAGGGCAGAGGGAGAGGGAGAGAGAGAATCTCAAGCAGACTCCCCACTGAGCATGGAGCCTGACTTGGGGCTCCATCCCAGGACCTCGCGATCAGGACCTGAGCCAAAACCAGGAGTTAGACGCTTAACAGACTGAACCACCCAGGCACCCCTTAAAGCCCTCCTTGACCTTGCTTTTTTTCCCCTTCTTGACGCTCTGCCTGTTCTCTTACCTGCTTACCTGGCTATGTTATCCTGCATCCTTTCTTCTTAGTTTCCTTTCTAGTCTCCAGTCTGTCTTTCTGAGATGTACAGTGCTTTTCTGTTTCACGTCAAATAGCTTAGTGAGGTTTAATTTATCTATCATAAATTTCACTGGATTTAAGGGTACAATTCCATGACTTTTAGTATATTTATAAACTTCTGTTCTTGTGCTCACTGTTTATTAATAATGCTTCTATCAGTCTGTATACAGTGGAAGGTCACTTGTGTCTTTTTTTTTCTGTTCCCAGTTGGGTGGCACCATTGGAGACATCGAAGGGATGCCGTTTGTGGAAGCATTCAGACAATTCCAGTTTAAAGCCAAAAAAGAGAATTTCTGTAATATCCATGTTAGTCTTGTCCCACAGGTGAGCTTTCCAGATAAGCAACTTCTATAAATCTTCCTGTGATATTCTGTTTATTCCACATTTTTTTAAAAAGGAGATCGAAGTTTATTGAATACACTGCAAGGAAACAGTGGGCAGGACAGCAAAGGAGAGACTGTCTGCCTGTTTCTTCCACATTTTATTTTATTTTATTTTTTAAAGATTTTTTATTTATTTATTTGACAGAGAGAGATCACAAGTAGACAGAGAGGCAGGCAGAGAGAGGGAGGGAAGCAGGCTCCCTGCCAAGCAGAGAGCCCGATGCGGGACTCGATCCCAGGACCCTGAGATCATGACCTGAGCCGAAGGCAGCGGCTTAACCCACTGAGCCACCCAGGCGCCCCTCTTCCACATTTTAAACTAGGGAGCCCTTAATTATGCAGAAGAGCTAAATATCCAATATATTGACAGTGACCCATTTCTTTTCAGCCCAGTGCTACCGGAGAACAAAAAACCAAGCCCACACAAAACAGTGTCCGTGCACTGAGGGGGTTGGGCCTGTCTCCTGATCTGGTGAGTTACAGAGAATGGGTAAATTTTTTGGAATAGGACCTTCATTTCTTTTTTTTTTTTTTTAAGATTTTATTTATTTATTTGGCAGAGAGAGATCACAAGTAGGCAAAGAGGCAGGCAGAGAGAAAGGAAGGGAAGCAGGCTCCCCGCTGAGCAGAGAGCCTGATGCGGGGCTCGATCCCAGGACCCTGGGATCATGACCTGAGCCAAAGGCAGAGGCTTTAACCCACTGAACCACCCAGGCGTCCCTAGGACCTTCATTTCTTGGACTATAACATCAGCTAAGTCCTTTTTATTTCTTAAGTGGTTCCTGTGACTTTGAGCTCTTTGTATCTGGGGGCCAGGGAAGGCTTATTCCCAGACCTCAATGGTCGCTCCACACATTTCTAAATTGACAGTCTCTTCTCCTCCATGTCCTCCTGTGATTGGCCACATGGGCAGCCGGGCAAGTGCAATGTCCCATCATTTTTACAGTCCCTGGGTCCCTTAGTGTGAGGTGGGACCTTGGGGATTTCCTGACACCCACGAGGGTGGGCTGTCACTGCTCTTATTCGTAAGAGGGAATCCAGTTATGACCAACAGTCTAGATGAGAGTTTGGCAAATAAGGGCCTCCAGCCTGCTGCCTGTAAATACAGCTTCATTGGAACTTGGTACCACCTGTCTCTGACATTTGTCCACAGCGCTGTTGTACTGCAAGGATACAATTGAGTAATTGGGACGGTAGCTTCTTGACTTGGAAAAGCTACAGTGTTTACTGTCTGGCCCTTTAGAGAAAACGCTTGTCACGCCCCCCTCTAGTTCAGCTCCCGTAAAAGAGGCATTTGTGAGCCTTCACTCTTGTTTACGAGAGATGCCTTGACATTCTGAGCCCTTCCTGGTAGATTCGAGTTGATTACACTTGCTCACATTAGCGCTCAGGTGTTTCTAATAGTCCCGTGGAATTGCCCAGAATGAGCTGGTACACAGTCAAGTCTCCGGTTGTAAGAAGAAATTAACATAGCCTCCTCCCGCAAACGAACGGTGGCATGAACAGCCCGATTCCTGCTTGCTGACCTGTGCACACCCGACTTTGACAGATTGTCTGCCGAAGTTCAACGCCCATCGAGATGGCTGTGAAGGAAAAGATTTCTATGTTTTGTCACGTGAACCCCGAACAGGTGAGTGCTGCTCTTTGCCTTTTAATGACTTTCAGGCAGGCAGTTCTGCAGACACGAATGTTTGGACTCTCCGGAATGACTGTCCTACTTTTCATGGCACTTAGGAAAGCCTTGGGAGATTCATATCCAGCCAGCCCCGGCTTCCTTGCCCTGCAGTGAACAATCTGAGACTCCCAATTTCTTTACCTAGATCATGTATCTCTTTGCATCATCACTCCTTATGTTACAGGGACAAAACCAGGAGGGCTTTCGAACCAGGGAGAGAAGCCTGTGAAGCCTGCTTGTTTTCTGTCTTGTGCTTCCAGGCCACTGCCTGCTTCCACTGCGATTTCTCCTTTGCCCACGTTACAGCGTAACTTTGCCCAGACCGCACGTTACGCTGACATTCACACCATCGCCGCTGAGGACATCAGTGGCCTCCGTTCTTTTCCTTGCTCTAGAAACTGTACTGTGATTTGGGCTCAAGTGCTCTGTCCTGTGAGACTTTCCACCTGGGTATTGGAGAGCTTTTTCTTTTTTCTTTCATTCTCTTATCTGTCTCTTGTTTGCAATAAGGCTTCCGTGTAAGGGCTCAGGGTTGGCTATAGTTTAAAAGGTGGTATGAATGGCGCTCAGGAAAAGGGTGAGGTTTGGAGAGACTTTTGTTTTCTTCAGTTTAGCCCTGGGTTCTCTGAAGCCTAAAAATCATCGCCTCAGATTTCTGGATCCAGGATACCAGGATCACACAGCCTCCTGACTGATAAAGTTTTCAGAGTTGGGTTACTGAGAGCTCTGAGAAGGGAAGTGTGCAGATTTCTAACCCTACAGATCCTGTTTTTTCTTTTCTTTGAAGATTTTATTTATTTATTTGACAGAGAGCGAGACAGCAAGAGAGGGAACACAAGCAGGGGGAGTGGGAGAGGGAGAAGCAGGCTTCCCACTGAGCAGGGAGCCCGATACACGGCTCGATCCCAGGACCCTGGGATCATGACCTAAGCCAAAGGCAGACGCTTAAAGACTGAGCCACCCAGGCGCCCACAAAGCCTGTTTTCAATAGAACGATAGTTCCAAAGAATTCTATCCCAGCAGCCCACAGGCTAATGTATTAGCCATTTTTCAGCACATCTTTTTTTCTGATGTGAGTTAACACTCCCGTTTCTTGGTTCCTGGTGAACTGGCATTTAAAGATCTTCTTCTCTGGTTACTGTGGAAGGAATGGAGGGTCAGAGGCATCTCTATGGATGTGGTCGTTACCATGACATTTGAAAAAAAATCTCTCTCTGGACCGGAGCATGAATGAGTAAAGAGTTCCACATGCCACGTCTTCCAGCGTGGGAGTTTGGGCTGCCCAGAGATTTAGTTGTAATTAGTAGCAGAGCTGGAGCATACGTCGGTGGCATCTTGGCACTTCGAATTGCTTCAGTGAATGCACAAGTGAGGCGCAGTGGTCCTAGGTATCAAGTTGGTGACGTGCAAACAGCTTAGGAACTTTGGGGTGGATTTGGCTGTGGCTTTGGGAAGAACTGAACACACAGAATGAGCAGAACATTTCTTGGCATTGATTTAGAATGTGGCAGGTCCTTAAATGCCTGCCGGTGGCCCCTTAGATATACTCGAGACAGTGGTGAGAGCTCGTTAGGGTAAGTGTGAAAAACAACCATACCACCTTGGAAGGAGCCGTTCAAACAGGTGTACTAATTACTTTGACTGGGTTCAGTGTGTGCTTGAAAATTTATCCAAGGGAAGAGAGTAGACAGCAGCGGCAACAGCAACAAATGAACACACACGAGCACACACACACACACACGAACCACACACCCACATTGAGAAGACACAGTGCACATATTCAATGTTACTGCTTTAGCCTGGACTTAGGTGATGCCTTGGGCCATGTGTCTTGGATATTGACCCATAAAGCATCCACATGTCAACACCCGTTCTCTGATACCAGCTGGGGTCCTGCAGTTCAACTGTGACACTAACCACCTGGAGTGGGGTTCCGCACACTGAGGGCTGAGTTCTTTACAAGACGGCCCCCCACTTCAGTCACCAGCCACAAGTTTCCAGTGTCCCTGAGCCACCGACACTTCTGACTGGCTGACTACAGATTTGGGGCTTCCCATAATCCCCTCAGGTTCAATAATTCTCTAGAATGATTCATGGAACTCAGGAAAATGTTATACTTATTACCAGCATTTGATTATAAAGAGTGCGGAGGAACAGCCAGATAAAGAGATACACAGGGCAAAGCATGGGAGGATCCCAAGCTCAAGGTCAAACTCATTTTCCAGCCCCCTTATTATCCTTGGAGGTCAGGGGGCTGAACGTTTCCAATCCTGCTTGGGTTTTCTCGTGACCACCTCCCATCCTGAAGCCATCTAGGGGCCACCAGGAGTCGCCTCATTAGCATAACAAAGATGCACCTGTCACTCAGGAATTTCCAAAGGTTTCTGAAGCCTTGTGCTAGGAATTGAGAACAAAGATGAGATATATATATATATATATATATATATATATATAAAATTGATTCTACCATGGCATCCATGTTTCCAGAATTAGAATAATGTGTTCAAAGAGTTTTATAATTAGATCAAAGTAAGCTTGTGTTAATTCTGCCTCTTGTTTGGGTCACTGGGCTCTTGATTTTCTTCAGTATAAATGAACTGCCTTGTCTCTTGAGTTTTGGCTCATTCTTGAACTCCTTCTTGTGGCATATTTGAGGTGTTCCATTTAAATATGGTGTTTTATCATCATTAATCAGGTCATATGTATCCATGATGTTTCGTCCACATATCGAGTGCCTGTGCTTTTGGAGGAACAAGGCATTGTTAAATATTTTAAAGAGAGATTGGATCTGCCCATTGGTGATTCTGCAAGTAATTTGCTTTTCAAGTGGAGAAATATGGCTGACAGGTACGTGAAAGGAATTATTGATGTAATCTTTAATAATAATTCTTGGGTTTGGGGTAGGATTGAGACATAATTTAAAGGATACCTATGCCACATTCAGCTTTCTGTATGTATATATTTTGGTATGGATTTATCTAAAGCTTTAATACATTGGTAGAGTGTTTTGCTGTATTCTTTGAAGATTTCTGGGGCTTTTGATTTTGTCCTACTTAAATGAAAGTGAATAGAAGGAATTTGGATTCTGGAATGATTTTTTTTTTTTTTCAAATTCTGGAAGCATTTTGATGGATTGATTGATTTCTCAGTTTCCAAACATTTTAAACAGGTTTAAATGTCACAGATTTTTTGCTGTTTGTTTTGCTTGTTTTTTTTTTTTAAAGTTTATTTATATATTTTTTAGTCGTATCTACACCCAATGTGGGGATCAGACTCAAGGACCCTGAAATCAAGAGTCACAAGGTCTTCCAGCTGAGCCAGCCAGGCGCCCCTGTTTTGCTTGTTTTTATAGACTCGGCTAACATTTCCTAAAGTAAATCCCTTTTGAATGAGAGTAGGCTCTGTCATTATTGCTCCATCCTGGAGTTATTAACTGGCAGCATTGTTATTAAAACCTCAGACAGGTTCTAGCTTTCAGACAACGATATTAATTTCAACAAGGCTTGTCTCATTGGAAGTTCATATGGAAATTAAATCCCTGTCACCTATTTTCTTTGACTAAATGTAGACAAGGCATCACTCCATAAAGTCCTGACTGCCTGGCTTTTTTTATTTTTATTTTTTTTTATTTTTTAAAGATTTTATTTATTTATTTGACAGAGATCACAAGTAGGCAGAGAGGCAGGCAGAGAGAGGAGGAAGCAGGCTCCCTGCTGAGCAGAGAGCCCGATGCGGGGCTCGATCCCAGGACCCTGAGATCACGACCCGAGCCGAGGGCAGAGGCTTTAACCCACTAAGCCATCCAGGAGCCCCCTGCCTGGCTTTTTTGTGCTGCTTAGGTAGTAGACAGCGGTGACAAACGTCGGCTCTGGTGTTGCTAAGGAGTAGATCCTGAAAGTTCTCATCATAAGAAAAAAAAATTATAACTGTGTGGTGATGGATGTTAATTAGACTTATTGTGGTGATCGTTTCGTGATACATACAAATACTGAATCACTATGTTGTATCCCTGAATCTAATATAATGTTATTTTCACTTATATTTCAATTGGAGAAAAAAAAAGGTAAGCTCTGGCATGAGGCACTCTGGATTGAGATCCCAGCTTCTCCTCTCACTAGTTGTGTGCATTTGGGTAGATTAATTAACCTCTCTGGACTTGTTCTCCCACCCATATATATATAACTAGTACCCACATTGTGATAATGATGAGAGAAAACACGTAAGACCTTAATCTCGCATTGGGCACTGAGTATTGGTTACTGAGGTTGGTAACAATAATTAAAGTGGTTTGAAGGTGATGAAATCAGTGACCTTGGTAGATGATCAGTAGATTGAAGTGTTCTTGCCCTGTCACTTACAAATTTAAAAAAGTGTCTTTGAATCTCTGGGACAAGTAAAATCAGGGCCAAAGTGCAGTTTCTGAACTTGGGTACTGTCTTGCACGATGATACAGTTAAGCTTCAGCCCTCCAGAATGCTTAAGGAATTAGTAGCTTTGGGGGAATTTTCTGAGTAGCTTGGGGCTGATCCTCTTTAAGCATTAGAAATTTTAGTCTGTAACTCCTTTTATTGGAAATAGCTCTAAATTATACTCCGAGGTGCTGTGCTTTTAAAAGCCAGTGTCTGCTCTTCATGTCAGTTTCTTGGCTGCTGTAACAAGTGTTACAACTATCAGTTGTGAAGGTCCGAAGTTCAAAACCAAGGCATCAGCAGGATTGGTTTCTTCCAGAGGCTCCGAGGGAGCCCACTTTCTGCCTCTGTCCTTATGTGGCCTTCTCTGTGTCTCTCCACTTCTCTTCTTCTCTCTCTCTCTCCACCTCCCCCACCCCCCTTGTATAAGGATGCTTGTCTTAACTTGATTGTATCCGCAAAGACCCTTCTTCCAGATATGGTCACATCCACAGGTTCTGGAGGACATAGGTTTTGGGGGCCACCATTCAGCTCACCACAGTCTTTAAGCAAAAGGAATATTGAGCATCGGTTTCTCGTGGTGATGTGGGTTTATTGGTAATGGCCGTATGTACTGTCCCTTCAGTACAGCCTGTAGAGAGATACAAGAAGGCAAGCAGGGGTCAAAGGGCAGCCTTGTTCATGGAGATCCAGTGCTGTTCAGAGGCCAGGGGTTCCTGGTTGAATTAGATGGCAGAGCTTTTCTGGGACCCCAGACAAAGTGGAGACAGCTTGCCTCCCCGGGGACCTGTGTGTGGAATGGGCCTGCAAAGCGGGCCTGGAGTTAGGTCCAGGGCAGGTGAGAGCTTGGCTGGTCCGGATAGGGCCACACGAGCCTCACCTGCAGGCCCCGAGAGTGAAGAGAGCACAAGGGGAGTGCGCTCAGGATACATACCCTTCCTGGATGGCAACCCTTTTCCCTGGGCCATCCCCACTTCCGCGGCGGCGTGAGAATAAGGGAGAAGGGCTCATTCTAGCAGGTGTGCTCAAATGTGGTTGTGATCACCAGTTCCCCAGGCCCAAATCTGGCCTGGACAGTGCTTCCCTCTGACATTGCATTGGAATCTTGCCTTGATACCAACTTGCTTTGTCACCAGTGTCCTTTGTGTAGGGATGAGGGGGAGCAAAGGGGGAGCCTGTGCAGCCACGCAGTCTCCCGAGCGACGTAGAATTCGGTTTAGCAGTTTAACTTCTCTGAGGTTCTTCAGTCACCTTCCTTGGAAGTCACCTTTACTGTCAGTTTGAACTTCCTAGCCGCTTCTGCATTTTTCTCCTCCCAGCCTATTCACAGTTGTGTTTCTGTGGCACCCTTTGCAGGTGTTGCTATGAGCGAGGAACGTTCCCGCTCACGACAACCTTTCTGTTCTAAGGTATTTGGGGAAGGGTTTGCTTCCAGGCCCTAAAACATCTTCAGCCCCAAGATGATGTTTCTACATACATAGGACCAGACCGGACAATTTTCATGTTCGTTGTACAGAGTTCCTAACAAAAGCAACAGTAAACATTGTGTCTTTAGTGGTAAAATGTGATTGAACATCTTAGGTGGAATGGAATTTTCTCATAAAAATGATGTAAATGGCTTGTAATATTTTAAATAGTTCTCTTAGTGCCATTCTTCAGACATGCCATGAATAACCTTCCTTTGTGGGCCAGCTGGAACTGTAACCGTTTTTAATGTAGACAGTTTGAATGCATTTTCTTATATAACGTCACCTTATAAAGTTAATATTGAAATGTTTCCTGTTGACATTCAGAATGCATTTTTCTTATACAGTGTCACCTTATAAACGAGTTTAAGGACAGTTCATTTTTATGAGATGGGGAGAGCTTTTTTACTTTTAATGGTTTTAACTGTTTCTCTGATACAATTTCCGTGGATTTATGTCTCTGCCTGCTTATGTAAGCCAACATTGGGGTTGCTTATGATTTTGCAATCGGTTGGCACTCAGATTTTCATTCACTAGGGGTGGAGTGGAGTGGGGATTTGAGTTAAGTACATCAAGTTCGAGGCTCGTCTGCCCTTAAGGTTTTAAGAGGTGCCTTGAGATAAGAACAGTGGCTGTCATTATATTTGTGATGTTACATTACATGCATATAACCCTTAAGCTGGTCTTTCATCTCAGGTATGAAAGGTTGCAGAAAACGTGCTCCATAGCCTTGGTTGGCAAATACACCAAACTCAGGGACTGCTACGCCTCTGTGTTCAAAGCCCTGGAACATTCGGCCTTGGCCATCAACCACAAATTGAACCTGATGGTGAGCCCTTGCTGGTCTTCCTCATAGTTCAGTCATTCACTGTGGTATCTCGTGTTGTGTTGAAGGATCCCCAAGACTTCCGCCAGGATTGATGTCACCAGGACTCACAGTACTGAGTGTATAGCCCAACTTGTGGCTAAGATTTAATACACTGAGAGGGTACAGAGCGAAGTCAGCAAAGGGGAAAGGTGTATGCAATGAAGTCTGGGGAACTTCATATATATAGCTTGAGTCTAGACTTTGTCTTTGTTAGATACAGAAGTAGCACATGTTCAGTGTAGGAAATTTAAACAAAGCATCATCTAAAATGCAGAAAGTGGGAGATCCTTCCTCCCTGAAATCCTGCTTCTCTGCTATACCTGTTGTTCCCAGTTTGATGCATAGCTTTCTAGACATATGTATCTATGTTATATTTAATGATATTCCTTTTATCTTTTTTAAAGATTTATTTATTTGACAGACAGAGATCACAAGTAGGCAGAGAGGCAGGCAGAGAGAGAGAGAGAGGAAGGGAAGCAACCTCCCTGCTGAGCAGACAGCCCGATGTGGGGCTCGATCCCAGGACCCTGAGATCATGACCTGAGCCCAAGGCCGAGGCTTGACCCACTGAGCCACCCAGTGCCCCGAGCCTTATGATCTTGATTTAAGTGGTGAAGTATTTATATAATGCACAAAAAGATACATGTATGCATCTAAGAAATTTAGTAACTTCCAACTTAGGACCGATCTGACTTTTCTCTCACCTTTCTAGCCTCCTCTTGTCCTAATCACTTTAAAAAAAAAAAAGATTTATTTATGTTTGAGAGGTAGAGAGCACGGGGGAAGGGGCAGAGGGAGAGAAAGAGGGAGAATCTCCAGCAGGCTCCCGCTGAGCAGGGAGCTGGATGTGGGGCTGGATCTCCTGACCCTGAGATCATGACCTGAGCCGAAATCAAGAGCCCGACGCATAACTGACTGAGCCACCCAGGCACGTCCCTAATCGCTTCGTATCTGTGGCTTTCCAAGGAACACTTCACTTCCTGCTCTTCCCGCTCCTCCGAGTCCCCCAGTCCCTCGTAGAGAAAAGAGCAGTAGAAAAATTGTTAGATTACCAATTTTATTAAGCCTTTACAAGTTTGTATGTTAAGATATGTTCAGATAGTAATTTTTACAAAATAAATACTAAAACAATATAGGTCTATAGGGACTGTTACCTACGTAGGAGTCGTCATACATGAATTTTCCAGTTGACAGAATTTGTTGACATTCGCTTCTGCGAAGTACTATTTGAGTCATGGTCTCGTCATATTGTTTTTAGACCACTTTGCTTCTGTGTTCCCCTCGCTGGGCTTCCTGTAGCAGCCTCCAGCCTGGTTTGCTGTCTTCCCTCCATTTTCCACCTCAGAGTGCTGTGATCCTTCTAAAAATCTCTCTCTCTGTTCTCTCTGTTCCTTAAGACTTTCCAGTGGCTTCAAGTGTAAACTTCTCCTCTCCCTGGGTGGAGTCTGTTTTGAGGGCCCCAGAGTGACCACCCCTTTGTCTGTTTCCTCTGACGTTTCATACAAGCTGTTCTTTGCCTCCCTCCTCCCTGCGTCTCCCACACAACTTGCCGCTAGCCTCCCAAAGCACACACACAGGCTCCTCCTCGAGGGCTGAGCTGCTCGGGCATCACCTCTCCAGAGGCCTCCCCCCACGGTGCTTCTTCCCATCTTCCCTGCAGTGTCGCCGTCTAGATTAAGTGTGGCTCCCACTTATTTCCACAGCGTTCTCTTTGCCCATCGTGGCCACTGTCATGCTATGGTGTGCGTGCCTGTGTATTGGGTTCTGTAGTCTTCCTGGAAGACTGTAAGAGCCCCAAGACAAGACTGTGCTTTTCTATCCTCAGTGACCGTTGTAGTGTTTGCAAAATGAGTAGTTATTGAAGAATTGGGTCATAGTGTTAGATGCCTCCAGTATTTTTTAGTATCTCCTTTAATTTTTTTTAAGTATCTATTTTTCTTACATGTGTTTTTAATCTATTGGATATATATATACATACGTGTGTGTGTGTGTGTGTGTGTGTGTGTGTATTTTTTTTTCTAGTACATAGATTCCATTGATCTGGAACAGACCACCGAAACTGAGGACCCTGTGAAATTCCATGAGGCCTGGCAGAAGCTATGCAAAGCTGAGTGAGTGCCGAGGACTGCCCATACCAGTTAGGAGAATGCCATTGTGCTTTCCCCATAACTATCTGATTGACCCCAATTCCTAATTTTTATGCATTTTTGAAAGGTAGTCTGTCATACTTGTGGTCATTAAGGGTGGTCACGCTGCATCGTCCCCTCATGTCCTTTGAAATGTGCCACGTTCATGTTTGTGGCATGTGCAGTGGAAATGGGTTTTATTTTGGGGGACAATGGGGATCTGATATTGGGGAGAAAAGGGGCTGATTCTACTGAAAGATACAGAAATGGATCTTACATATGCACAGTTAAAGTACAAGGATGCAACTCTTCCTTCTTGGTTATATTTTCTTTTTTACATCATTTGATTGTAGGTTTTATTTTGTAAGTAATCAACAGAACTTTTGGGGGCAACACGGTATTGTGAGGGTAGAATGACCCTCCCAGTTAGTCCTTGAACTCTTGTCTTCTCCAATGAGTGTTTGCCTAAAAGGTCTCTGAAGTGTCTGTTAGCCAGGAGACTTTCATGTGCCACTATTTAATTAGCAATTGAAATTTTAGGCTGATTTTACCAGCTTAACTCTTTCTGATTATGCAAGAGATCTTAACTTTTTTTTTTTTAAGATTTTATTTATTTGAGAGAGAGAGAGAGAGAGCATGAGAGTAGAGAAGTCAGCAGGAGAAGCAGACTCCCCGCCGAGCAGGGAGCCCGATGTGGGACTCGATCCCAGGACTCCAGGATCATGACCTGAGCCGAAGGCAGTTGCTCAACTAACTGAGCCACCCAGGCGCCCCAACTTTTTTTTTTTTTAAAGATTTTATTTATTTATTTGACAGAGAGAGAGATCACAAGTAGGCAGAGAGGCAGGCAGAGAGAGAGGAGGAAGCAGGCTCCCTGCCGAGCAGGGAGCCCGATGTGGGGCTCGATCCCAGGACCCTGGGATCATGACCTGAGCTGAAGTCAGAGGCTTTAACCCACTGAGCCACCCAGGTACCCCTGAAAATCAGAGTTTTAAAAAGACAAACAATGTCAAGTTCACCCTTGTGTTATGTTGATTGCAGTGGTGTTCTTGTGCCAGGAGGCTTCGGAATCCGAGGAACGTTGGGGAAACTCCAGGCCATTTCCTGGGCACGGGCAAAGAAGATCCCTTTCCTGGGTAAAACTCAAGATTATGTATCCTAACGATGACTTTTTTAGATTGTTGATATCTAGTAGTAGGGGTAACATTTCATAGAATTTGTTAACAGGAAAGGCGTGAACTCAGATTTGAATATTCAAGTGCCAAACAGTCTGCCATGGGGGCCAGCAAACTCTGTCCTGTTTTTGTAAATAAGACTTTATTGGAATAAAGCACACCAATGTGTTTACATATGGAATGTGGCTGCTTTTATGGTGCAGTGGCAGAGTTCAAGGCCTACAGCCTGCAAAGCCTAAAATGTTTACTGTCTGGCCCTTTGTAGAAAAGGCTGTTGGCCTGGGAGAACTTAGCACCGTTCTGGTTGGGTAGCAAGAGGCTGAGAGAAGCTGCTGTGTACACCTGCCCTTTTCTTCTCCCGTTTTCACCCAAATTCATCTTTTCACCGCTTCCAGCTAGAAGAGACCATCCTACGTCACAGGAAGAGCTCTGCTAAAATTTGGTAGAGCCAAGTCTTTTTAATGTCTTGGTTCAAATTTTATTTATTTATTTTTAAAAAGACTTTAAAGAACAGCAGGGATATTAAGATAGTTTGCAACTCTTGAGCTTTCTGTTTGACGCAGCATCTCTTTATGTCTTAGCCATTTGGAACTTTCTGAACTTCCCCCCCCCTTAAAGCACTCAGCTGTTTCCGGCCAAGTATACTGGTTGCCCTTCTCTGATGAGTTCCTTGCATACCTTAGATAAGTCTATAAAAACATCTGGAATGCTCCTTGGCGTTTGTTGAGTGGAGAGAATTGCTGGATGTGGAGATGGGTGAAGGGCCCATCGCTGTCGCAGCCGGCTGGAGGCTATGCAGGTGTTTTGTTTTCCTCCTCATCGGGTTGTCTGTTCCGTTCTGTCCTGCACCTGCCTTCCCTGCTCGCCAGCCTTCCCGAGCCCGCCATGCAGATGCCGGCTTCCCCTAGCTGCTGCCGTTCTCTCGCAGTGACGTTATAGGCCTGTTCTGCACCCGGCACCTGGTGCCCACTTCCCGCCCCTTAGATCCCAGCCCGCTGGCCAGCCTCAGGCTGCCCTCTGAGAAGAGGGAGTGTCAAGTCTCCCTCTAGAGCTGGGGTGTCGGTAGACCTCCTTGGGTGGAATCGGGTGCTCTGGGCCAGCCCTGCATCCCTCTCACATGCTTCGAGTTAGAGGAAAATTTGGGAGGAGGCAGATTTGCCTTTGGGACCTTGCCCTGTCTTTTCTTGCCCCTTTCTGACCTCGAATTCCTTCTTCCTCAAGTCTGGGTGGCCTCCTGCCTTTGCCACACATGTGGTGAGTGCAGAGGGCACAGGAGCGAACCCGGCAGGCAGTCTTGCTCTGTCCGAGCCTGCGTTCTAGGTGAAGGAGGTGGGCAGGAAAGGAAAGAACAGGAAATAGGAAGTAATACACAAGGTGCTCATTTGCTTTATGTATATGCTTTTTCAAATAGGAGTTTGCCTCGGCATGCAGCTAGCAGTGATAGAGTTTGCAAGAAACTGCCTGAACTTGAGAGGTAGGCCTGCTACTTGCTAGTAACCTTTTATTAAAAAAATTCTTATTACTTAACATATTTTTCAGCAATACTGGTGAATTATTGACCTCATTTCTTCATCTTTAGATGCTGATTCCACAGAATTTGAGCCAAATGCCCGTGTTCCTGTGGTAAGTGGCTTATTCATCTTTCTGGGGTTGGTCATGGTCATTTTGTTTCTGGGTCTGGCCAAAACGCATAAAGGGATATTATTTTTATTATCATTATGTTGTCCTTACCACATCAGGATGTTTTAAGTTAGATATGATTTTATTATTATTACTACTACTGCTATTATTTTTATATCAAATGGCTCTGCTCTCCATAGTCCCTCTTATCAGCTGTGCCTTGAAGAAACACAGTCCTGGACTGATTTCTTTTGGTGCTTCCCAGCTTTCACTGATTCTTTTTCCTATAAAATATTCAGCCCAAGTTCTTTGGCTAGGACTGAAGGCCACTGTGCTCTGTCACCTGAGGCTTTGCTACACTAGTCCCCCTTGTCCGTGGGGAAGACATGCCAAGACCCCCAGTGAATGCCTGACACGGGATGGTACGCAACCCTAATATATACTCTATTTTTTCCTCCCCCTCCACACCTATGGTAGAGCTTAATTCATAAATGAGGCACAATGAGATGAACAATAGCTAATAATAAAATAGGGCAGTTATAATTTTGTGCTGTAATAAAAGTTAGGGGAGTGTGGTCTCTCACCATCTCTCAAAATGTCTTATTGTGCTGGGCTCCTCCTTCTTGTGCTGCTGTGGGCTGATCAAATGCCTGTGGTGAGACGAAGTGAGGGGACTAGCAGCTAGACTGACCCTCCGACAATATGAAACCATGGATAATGGGGACTACTGGAATTCAAGTCGAGGTGTCCCTGTCCCTCCCATGCATAGGGTTTATGTTTAGACAATCTGAACGGTGTTTTTCGATGTATCCTGATATTCCGTATACCTGAGATGGTCCCCGTCCTTCGACCTCCCTTCCCCTGGAATCTCAATAAAACCAGTGAAGAATTTAATTAAAAAAGTCAACCAGACCTGATGACAGACAACTTCCTATTCATCCTGGGAAGCCTATCCTGACCTCTGGTCTTTCCTTGCCTCTGCCTTCTGTGCCTCGTGCCCATCTCTGTCAGACCGCACACCTCACCATTGTGATTGCTTTTTTTAAAGTTTATTTATTATTTATTTTGAGTAATGCCTACAAACCAACGTGGGGCTCAAACTCATGACACCCAGATTAAGAGTTGCATGCTCTTCCTGCTGAGCCAGATGTGTCCTGTGATCGCTTTTTTTTTTTTTTTAAGATTTTATTTATTTGAGAGAGGGAGCGAGAGAGAGAGAACATGTGCGTGTATGAGCATGAGCTGAGGGAGAGGGAGACGGAGAAGCAGACTCCCTGCTGAGCAGGGAGCCCGATATGGGGCACGATCCGGGACCCCGAGATCATGACCTGAGCCAAAGGCAGTTGCTTAACCCAGTGAGCCACCCAGGTACCCCCCACCCCATGATCACTTTTTTTTAAAAACATTGTTATTGAGAGATAATTACATACCATAAAATTTAGCCATTTGAAGTGCATAATTCAATGGCCTTGAGCATATTCACAGATCTGTACAACCATCACCATAATCCATTTTGGACCATTCTCATTACCTCAAAAGAAATGTCACACCCCTTAGCTGACATCCCCAACCTACTGTCACCCCCAGCTCGAGATAGCAATTAATCTGTTTTGGGTCTCTATGGATTTGCCTGTTCTGGGCATTTCATGTCTATGTGGCCTTTTGTGACTGACTCCTCTCGCTTAGTATAATGGTGTCAAGGTCTGTCTGTGTTACAGCATCTATCAGTACTTTGTTTCTTTTTATTGCTCAATAATATTCCATTAGATGAACACAACACATTTTAGCAATCCATCCATCCATTGATGACATTTGGGTTATTTCTACTATTTGACTACTAGGAATAATGCTGCTGTGACCATTAGTATACAGGTTGTGGTGCGGACATGTTTTCATTTCATCTATGTACACCTAGGAGTGAAATTGTAAGTCATATGGTGACAGTATATTTAAACTCATGAGGAACTGTCCCAATATAACAACTTTTCTTCCTGCCAGCACTGTACGAGGGTCCCGGTTTCTTCACCTCCTCATACTTGTTACTGTCTCTCTCTCTTTTTTTAAGATTTTGTTTTTAAGTAATCTCTACATTCCACATGGGGCTCGAACTTACAACCCCCGGATTAATAGTTGTGTGCTCCACCGACCAAGCCAGCCGGATGCCCCATGATTATCTGTCTTTTGATTCTAGCCATCCCAGTTGGGCGTGAAGTTGTATCTCCTTGTGACTTTGATTTGCATTTCCACGAGGCCTGAGGATACGGAGCATCCTTGAACGTGCTTGTTGGCCTCTTGTATATCATCTTTCGGGAAATGTCTATTCAGGTCCTTGGCCTGTTTTTAACCTGGGTTATTTGTCTTTGTATTATTAGGCTGTAAGAGTTCTTTATGTATTCTAAATACAAGTCCCTCATTAGATACGCAGTTTGCACTATTGGCATTTTGGGCTGGATTATTCTTTGTGGTGGGGGCTAGCTTGTGCCCTGTAGAATATTCAGGAACATCCTTGGCCTCTACCCACTAGATGTCAGTAGTACACTCCTCCCAACCCCCAGTTGTGATGCTTAAAAATTCCAGCGAAACATCCTCTGGGGGCGCGGGCAAAATAGCCCCCATCCAGAACCACTGATTTTTAGAAATCCACTTCCATTCCTCTCTTCTCCATCCTATTCCCTCCCTTCCTTTATGGTAGTCATTAATTCTATTTTTTAGTAGGATTTCTTTCTTTCTTTCTTTCTTCCTCCCTTCCTTCCTTCCTTCCTTCCTTTTTTTTTAAAAAAATGGGTTATCTTTCCATTTAAAAAACATAAGTAAATCTATATGTCTACTTGTAACCCCTTCTCCTTCTTACATAAATGATAGCATGCTCTACACATTTTTTTCTGTCTTTCTTTTTTAACTTAACATTATATGCTGGAGATCACTCCATGGAAGGATATAGAGATATTCTTCACTCTCTTTATAGCTTGCAATTCAGACCATAATGAACCATAACTTCCCAGCCAGATGGTACTTTTAAGTCCTATGCTCAGAAGACCTAATACCAGTGAAGAGTTCCTTATGAAGCTTTATTATAAACATATTTCCTGACTAATGGCTGAAATGGCTGTGCAGGCAAATCATCGGTTTTCTTTCCTAAGATAATACTTTGGGATAGGAAGTGATTTTCTTTTGGGGGGGAGCGTGTGTGCTAGGAAGGGATTTGACCAGTAGGTGCCACTGTTAGATAGCTTTGGCAAGGTTAATTCTTAGCGGACTAGTCTTTACATTGTGCGTGCGTGCGTGTGTCTGTGTGTGTATGTGTGTGTGACAGATATGTGTTCTCTTTTTAACAAATACATTGGCTGGATGCTTGAGACACTGTGCCCCTTGCCTTTTGTGCAGATCACTCTCTGTCAGTACGCGGGCACCTTCCACATGCTTCTTTGCTGTATGCACCATTTACTTAACCAGTCTCATACTGATGAATATTTAGGTCGTGTCCATTACTTGGCCACTGTAAATCATGTTGCAAATTAGTATCCGTGTACATATGTCCTTTCGGCCTGCGCGTGCACATTTCTATGGGATGCGTTCCTAGAAGGGGAATTACTAAGTCTGGGGATCTGTGCATTTTTCATTTTGATAGCTTCTATACTCATAAGTGAGATGGGAACAATAAAACCTAATTGCTACTGAACATCTTTATGGCCTGCGATCAGTTTGTTGGAGAAAAATAGCCTTAAGAGGCAGCATTTGTGTTGATGGTGAGAAGTCCTATTAAGAAGAAAGGCTAAGGGAACAGAATCATCAGGCAGCAGATACCAGGAAGCCTGGGGAAATCACTTAAACTTGAGCAAATAACAATGACTTACAGTGGGTGATGGTCATTCTGGCCCTTCCAGCTAAAAAAGTAAATAATTTGGAAACTAGGAGACTCCTTTAGGGTATATTTGCTGCTACAATCTGTTTCATAGGTATGGAGAAGAAAAAATGATTTTTCTTCCTCCCTTCTAGGTTCTTGGCTGAGACCCCTCTGTCATAAAAGATTAACAGGAACAAAAACAAAGAAAGCTTAATAACCTGTATACCTCCTGTATACATGGGAGAAACCCAGGAAAACTGAGTGACTCCCCCAAGTGGCTTAAGCCACCTTGTTAAATAACCTCTCCAGATAAAAACAAAAGATGATGTTGGGAGTGGGGAGCCAGTAACGGGGTGGGGGGTGAGCGGTTACCCGGCAGAACACAGGAAACAAGGGTATGATTGTGATGCAGATTGAAATCCATGCTTTTAACATTCATTTGACTTTCTAGAGATTTAGTCATCCTCTTCCTGGTACCTAGTGGGAGACACCCTTACAGATGGAGATTTCCCTTATACATGTAAATGTCTCTTCCAGCGCTAGAGACAGGGACATCCGGGGGAGATATCTAAGAGGCGGTATCCCTTATGCACAGAAAAGGAGAAATACATTTTTCTCTAAGAGCAGAGGGAGACTCCAGACTACCAGGAAGAGAGTGAATAAAATTTATTTTATTGTCTTATTTCTCTGCTTAATCCACAAGCTGAAACAGAAGGCTCTGGGAATTTGCTGAATATTTAGGGTTCTACAGCAAGTCTGATTTTTTGGCTTGCTTCAGAGTAGGCTTACCCGCTTTCCGGACAAGGCTTACCAAGAACACAGCTGTGGGTGACTTGCATTCTGACTCTGTATCAGTTATGTGGCTGCTGCTGACACCCTTGACCTTGAATTTGGCTTCAGATTTCTCTAGTTCATGTGGAGGATAGTTCACGGCATTGTGTACTTTATATTTAGAATATTTGGGGGTTTGGACACATATACGGGAAGGATGATCTCAATCCAATATTTAAGTATGTGGCTATGCTTAATGTTTAGCACTTCTTTTCTGTTTATTGAAAACTGTAACTAAAAAACCCCTGAATTTCCGTAAGATGCAACACTTAGAAAACAAAATCCGTGTCCCGCCTTTATCACATCAGTACACACATGTATACTTGGA